ATACCCCATGGGATCAGAATATACATAAGATCTGAGAGCATAAACCCTTGTTGTATGATACAAAAGAAAACCCCATAAGTAGAGAACATAACCTCTAACAAAAGGAATATACTGCTCCAAGGAAGTCTTCTCTATCTTCAACCTCCACTCCACTGTTCTAGGGTTACACAGCAATACTTGGCCAAGAAACTGCAGCTCAGGGATGATACAGGTCTCAAATAAAATGAAATGTTCACAAGAATAATTCACAAATACCATTGAAACAAAGGAAGCTGTTGACAGCATCACCATGCTTTAGTTTGAACAAGAAAAATAAATCACCATATAGCAACTGCACATACACCACAAAACAGTACAAAAGAAACAAGATCCTAATAAAAAAAAGAGAACATAAACCAAATTGCTATGGTTTGAATGTCCCCTCCAAAACTCATTTTGAAATTTGTCATTTTAACAGTATTAAGAAGTGAGACCTTTGAGAGATGATTAGGTCATGGTAGTTCTACCCTCATGGGTGAGATTAATAAATTATAGAAAAATGAGATCAGCCCCCTTTGCCTTTTTTTTTTGGTCCCTCTGCCCTCTGCCATGTGATGATGCAGCAAGAAGGACCTTGCCAATTGCTGGCACCTTGATCTTGGACTCCCCAGCATCCAGAATTGTAAGCCAATAAGAAACAAGGAAAAGAAAAAAATTTCCATGGTATTTTAGAACATGAAAAGTAAATGTATGCAATAAAACAAAGTTCAAAGATAAGATACTAAAACAATAAAAGTGAAGTGAAAAGGGAAATAGGAAACTTAAGGAAACAAGTTGAGAACCAAAAATGAAAAAAAAAAAAAACCAAAAATATAAAAATTAAAGAAATTAATTAGAGGGGAAAGAAAGGAAAGAAGCAAAGGTAATTGGAATTAGTAATATAAATGAAAGGCTTGGCGTTATCACACTGAATCCAGAGAAAAAGTGATTTAAAAAATTACTGAATAGATATGGACAAAAGTGCCCTGTGTAAGAATAACAGGAGTCTTGGGGCCAGCAGGTGGCATAGTGGTTAAGGTGCTGGACTCCCACATGGTCGACTGTGGTTCAAGTCCTGGACCTGGCAGCTTAAAACTACACTAGGCATGTGTGTGTACCCAAAATCCTAATAAGAGAATGGAAGAGAAAGGATTTCAGCATGACCATTCCACATCACATTCTATCTCTCTGAAGAATGCATGTGCCCTACAGGAAAAAATCTCTGAAAGAAAGAAACAAAGAAAGAAAGAACAACAGGAGTATCAAAGAAAAGCTAAAAAAAAAAAAAGAAAGAAAGAAATCTGGGGCCACCGGTGGTACAGTTGTAACACAACAAAACACACATGAGAAAGCTTCTGAGTTCACGCCTAGACCTCCTTGAAACCCACACACACACATGCCTGTGATCTTGGCTGGCTGAGACTGGGGATATATGTGGCAGAAAAACCCTGGTGGGGTGCCTATCTCTCTGTCTCTGTCTCTTTCTCTCTTTGAATCACGGAAGAAATAAATGAACTCTAAAAAATTAGAAGTCCTAACTTCTATAAATTAAAAGAGGACTCAAATAGTTCTTTTGAAGGTATGCTGTGTGCTAAAAATGTTACTGGGGAATGAAGAATTGAATAAAAAACTGATCAAATTTTTCTACTTCAGAAATAAAGAAAGAGGCCTGCCATAGCACAGTAGCTAGTGCAGTGCACTGGGAGTCTGCTTCCACATAGCCAGCCATGCACACAGGTGACGATAGTTCAAATGCCAGTTCCTGTGGCTTTAAAGTCCAGCCAGGTACATGTTCATGTATGCCCAAATTCCTGAGGGAGGAAGAAATGGAAGACAAAGGATTGCAGTGTGACCCTGTCTCATTCAGGAGTGTTTTCTCTTTCTCCCCCTGTAAAAACACACACACTCTAGCAATTAAAAAAAAAAAAAAAAAGTAAGAATCTTTTAGGGCGAGGCAGTGGCTGGTGCTTAATACGACTGTGTCCCACGGGGTCCAATGCACAGTTGAGTCCCAAACTCAGTGGCATGTAGGGGTATACCCATTCAAAATTCTGAGAGGAGAATTGGAAGAGAAGGGGTTGCAGTGTGACCATCACCCACAGGGGGTGCTTTCTCACTTTCTCTCTCTCTTTGGCAAGCATACCTGGCCTCTAGGAAAATTTTAAAAATTATTTTAAAAAGAAATACAGCTATCCAGCAGAAAAGAAAAAAAAAGAAAAACCAACAAACAAATAAAACTCATCCACAAGAGAGGAGGAAAAAAAAAACAAACAAAAACCTGATTCACTTTGAGGCTTCTTTTCAGCTAAACACAATGTCAAAAGACAAGAAAGAGAGTAACATTTTTACATTTAGAATCAAAGAACACTTGACCCAAGAATTTTATTCATAACCAATTTGAATACAGGGATAATACACAGTCTGTCTGGAGCATGTTAAATCAGAGAATAAAGTATTTATGAGCTCTTCTTCAAAAAACTATTTGAAAATGAAATTCGGTCACCCAGGGATTCCCCACAATAAAGAACTCAGACATAAAAACGCCATCTATAAAATTAAGTTTAAACAACAGAGGGCATGTTGGCAATTGAAACTATTATGACTATAGAACCTAATACAACTTTTACAAATATTTTTAAAGTAAAATTAATATAGAAAGAGAAAACAAGGAGGAATTTTAAAGTGCTTATTTCTTTGCTTTATACCTGAAAATCAAATGGTACTGTTTAATTGAAACACTGCATGAAAAAAAAAAATGAATGACTCTAATGCCTTAAAGTTTTCACATTCTTTTTTCTGAAAATTAGAAGGATCTTTAGGGAATTAATGCATTTCATTGAGATAAAATACTGCATGAAGTTCAAAATTTTCTTCTGTTTTCACTTCAATTCACTACTACTCTTTTAAGTTCAAGTAAGAGTTAAAACAGCACTTGCTATGAGTCAGGCACTCTCCAGTATTTAGTAACTTGTTTAGTTCTCAAAAGAAACTATGTATAAGATAGGGACCATTATACTCCTTTCATGGGCCAAAACATGGGAGTCCCAGAGACTCAGAGTAATTTGTTGATAGTTACACGGGTAGGAAACAGAGCCAGGATTTGAAGACAGATGACTAGTCCCAGAATCCCTTCTCTGACACTCTATACTAAACTGCCTATCAAATCAAACAGCATGTGAACAAAAACCTGATTTTAATATTAATTCTATGCATACATCCATTCAGGCACCAACTATCTAGCCTTCCAAATAATAGTATTTAAGTATATAAGTAAAAGAATAAGTGTTTGGAATAATGTTTTGCTACTGACAAAGATGGTTATTTTGGAAGGAGCACTGTGAATTTAGGTTACCTACAGTTTTCAATTAATTTAATTTGTAAGAATGAGTCCCCAACAATCTTTAAAAAATTGACACCATTGTTAATTGTGTCTCTTTGTCTCCCTAATAAACCACATTTTAGTACTTCACACTCACCCTCCAGAAAGTCTAGCACAATGCTGAATAGTGCAAACTTGTCATAAGTGTATTGATTGGTCATCATTAACTATTAGATTACATATTTCATCTATTTTTAAAGGTAACATATTATTAGAAGCTTTAGGACCTTTCTACCAAAAGCATACTCCTTAGACTGGCATCATTTGTATCTAGGAGCTTATAAAAAAGAGGTATCTCAAGTCGCACCCCAGATCTATTGACACTGAATCCGCATTTAACAAGATTCCCCCAGGTGGCCATTAAAATTGAAAAAAAATATTTCTATGGCAGTGTTTCTAATTATTGCCCATTAATTATCTATCATCTGAGTTACTTTCTAAACAATGGAGACTGTTAGTCTCCACTCTTTTCCAAGTGTCACTAAAGATTAAGAGTCACAGCTAAAAACAAATTACAAGTAAATAGTAGTAAAGAGGGGCTAGCAGGTGGCGTAATGGTTAAGGTGCTGGACTTTCACATTTCTAACCACAGTTCAAATCCCAGAACCGGCACCTTTCTCTCTCTCTCTCTCTCTCTCTCAAGAGTTCATGTGCTCTACAGAAAAACTTTAAATAATAATAATAATTTAAAAAATTAAATAAAAAATTTTTAAAAAAAATGTAGTAAATGAGTGTTCATTTCAGCAGTACATATATTAAAAGTAGTAAAGAACAAGAACAGGGATATTAAGAAGAGAACAGTAAAAGAATCCAGGCAGCTAAAATCAATCAAGAGGGGCTGGCAGTTGGCATGGTAGTTAAGGATGCTGGACTCCTACATGGCTGACCATGGTTCAAGTCCCGAATCAGGAGGCTTGCTTTTTCACTTTCCCCCCTCGAATCAGGAGGCTTGCTTTCTCACTTTCCCCCTCTCTCTTTCTCCCCTCTCTCCCTCTCTGGTAAAATTTAAATACATACATACATACACACATATATAAAGTTAAATAAAATAATTCTTTAAGAAATAAATAAAATAAATCACGAAAGTAGGCAATAAAGGGAACAGAAGACAACAGGAAAAGAGAAATCACAGAGGAAGGAGGGTAAGAGCTTCATCAATAGAACTAAGAAGAAGAAAGTAATTGTGTCGAGAATTATGTGATTCTTTTATTTCTTTGAGAGGTTTTTGCTACAGCGCGCGTGCCCTCGCCAGACAGAGAGAGACAGAGAGACAGAAAGCGAGAAATCAACCCCCAGGGGAGATGGCCACGCCGCAATCCCTTCTCCTCCATTCTCCTCTCAGGATCTTGGGCACGCACGCACATACGCCTGGCGTGAGTTTTAAGTCACCGGGTCCGGGATGCGAACCACGGTCGACTATGTGGGAATCCAGCAACATAGCCATTACGCTAACTGCTGGTCCCAAGAATGATGTGATTCCTTTTGTATTACTTCATAGTGTAATATATAAAAGTTAGTAAAATTTTCAAATAGGTAATCACCATATAATGCACACATTTTATAAATATCATACTATCATATATAGCTTTAAATGTGTACATACAGTTTTAAAGATGCCTCCATATGCTTGGCTCGTGTGATTGCTTCATCTCTCTCTTGGATGGCCAACTGCAGTCTAGACATCATAGCCTCATCACGTTCTCTTTGTGCAAAATACACGTCTTCAACCAGAGCTATCAAAATACATAACCAATAATAAATCAAAGGAAAGGGAAGGAAAGGAAAAGGCATACATTTAGCAAAAATAAAAATAAAAAATATTATGTTGTTTTAAGAAGTGTTTATTTATTCAATGAAATAGTATTAAGAAAATATTTAATAGCTACTGCAAAACTGAGATTCTATTTCACACCCACAAAAAGAACAAAAATTAGGTCTAATAATAAATGTTGTGAACTTGTGAAACAAAGAAAACTCTGATATTTACGGCAGATAGGCATATATATTTTTACAACCACCTAAATAGCAATTTGGTACTATGTATTAAAATTGAAGACACACTGAACCTACAATGGAGAAAAAAAATCTCATTTGTATTCAGGGAACCAGCAGTTAGCGTAATGGCTATGTCGCTGGATTCCCATATAGTCAACCGCGGTTTGTGTCCTGGACCTGGTGGCTTAGAACTCACACCGGGCGCGTGTGTGTGCGTGCCCAAGATCCCGAGAAGAGAATGGAGAAGGGATTGTGGCGTGACCATCCCCCCTGGGGGGTGATTTCTCGCTTTCTGTCTCTCTGTCTCTCTCTGCCTGTCTGGCGAGCACACGTACCTTATAGCGAAAACCTCTAAAAAAAAAAAGTTAAAAAAAAAAGAAATTCATGCACATGTGCAAAAGAAGACATGTATTAAAATACTCACTATAACATTGCTTATAACAAAAACTTAGAAATAACCCAAATGTGGGACCAGCAGTTGGTATAATGGCTATGTCGCTGGACTCCCATGTAGTTGACCGTGGTTTGAGTCCCAGACCCGGTGGCTTAAATTCACGCCAGGCACATGTGCTTATGTGCCCAAGATCTCAATAGGAGAATGGAGGAGAAGGGATTGCGGCATGGCCATTCCCCCCAGCCCCCCGTGGGGTGATTTCTCACTTTCTGTCTCTCTGTCTCTTTCTATCTTTCCGGTGAGCACACGCAGCCTGTAGCAAAATCCTCTCCAAAAAAAGAAAGAAATAACCCAAATGTCCACTAACAAGAATGAAAATGAATAAATTAGTATACATTCAGAACAGAATACTACTTGGAATTTAAAATGAATTAACAATGGACAAACCTCAAAAAAATAAAAAAGACGCTGGGGAAAATAGCAACTTGCAAAGTAAAAGAACTCTACAAATAATTTGTGGATACATATAATTTGTAAAAATAGTAAAACAAACATGGAAATGATAAACACCAAATTCAGGATTGTTTACCTCAATGGGACAATGGCAGGGAAAGAAGGGAGAGCAGGGAAGAATAAAATGGGGCCGAGCTGAGCTGTTTAGCACTGCACTTCTGCACAGAGCAGGGAGCACCACAAGTATACTGAAGATTATTATACAAATGGCACCGTCTAGATTTGTGCACAAATATATGGGAGCTTTTCAGATAACCTGAAATTGCATAATTTCTGTCTGTATTCTTGAAATTGTATATAATTTTTAAAAAAGGTTTTGCCATTGGCCATGTGTGCTCACCAGAAAGACAGAGAGAGAGAAAATGAGAAATCACCACCCTCAGGGAGGATTGACAAGGCACAATCTCATCTCCTCCATTTTCTTCTCAGGATTTTGGGCATGCATGTACAAGTGCCCAGCATGATTTTCAAGTTGCCAGATCCAGGACTTAAACCACAGTCAGCCATGTGAATGTCTAGTGCCTTAACCAATATGCCACCTGCTGGCCCCATCTAAGTATTCTAAGGTTAAATTTTTAAATGCCAGAATGCACATATACATAAAATCCAGTTATACAACCATATTTCTCTATAAATGATAAAAACATTTTCCAAAATTAAAGTATTATTCTATAGACTTAATGGTTATTCAATATATAAATGATAAAGGTTTTCCAAAATTAAGATATTTCTCAACAGATTCAATGCAATCCTTATCAAAATTAAATGTCATTCTTCACAGAAGCAGAAAAAGCAATCCTCAAATTTATCTGAAACTACAAAAGACTCCAAAAATCAAGCACAACCTTGAACAAAAAGGGCAAAGCTGGAGGCAACTCTACTGGGTTTTTAAATATATCACAAAGCCATACTAATCAAAACAGCATGGTACTGACATATAAAGACACATCAATCAATGTAATAAGACAGGAGCTGAGAAATAAACCCATACTCCTATGGTCAATTTATATTAAACAAAGGTGCTAATAACACACAATGGGGAAAGAACAATCACTTCAACAAATAATGTTAGGAAAATTAAATATTCACATGCAGAAAATGACTAGAAGAAAACATAGAGGAAAGGCTCCACGACAATGGTGTAGGCAGAGAGTTCTTGGATATGATCCCTAAAACACAGGCAATGAAAATAAGAATAGACAAATGGGATTGCATCAAACTATGAAGTTTCTACCCAGCAAAGGAAACAATTAACAGAATAAAGGGACAATCCACAGATTGGGAGAAAATATATGCAAATAATACATCAGTTAAGGTGTTGATATCCAAAAATAAATAAGTAACTAGATCTATTTAATAAGAAGAAAACAAATAATTCTATTAAAAACTGGGCAAAGGATTCGAATAGACATTGCACAAAAGAAAACAAATGGCTAACAGATAAATGAAAATAATGCTCAAATCTCTAATCAGCAGAAAAACAAAATTAAAATCATGAACTATTATCTCATACTTGTACTGGCTATTGTCAAAAAGATGGCACAGAGTGGCTCAGGTACATTGCAAGGCTAAAGACCACAGGATCAACAGCAGATTCAGATCCCAGAGTAAGTCTGAAAACACTCCATGTGCTCTAGGAAGTGGGGGGGGTGGGGGTGGGGAGGAGGTTGAAGGGCTGGAGGACTGAGAAGGAGAATGGTGGTGTGACAAGTCTGTGAAGGGTTCTCTCTCTCGCTCTCTCTCTTGCATGTGCATGAACATACACTGTCATTAAGATAAAAAAAGAAAACTAAAAAGATGAAAGATAACAAGTGCTGGTAAAGATGAAGACAAAAAGGAACCCCTATACACTATTGGTAGTATTGTAAATTTGAACATTTTCAAAAACAGTACAGAGTTTCCTCAAAAAACTAAAAACAGAATTATTGTATGATCCAATAATTCCACTTCTGGATACATAACCAAAGGAAATGAAATCAGTATGTCAAAGAGGCATTTGCTCTCCTAGGCTCACTGTATCATTATGCACAATAGCCAGGATATGATGTGCCCATCAATGGGTTAAAAGAATGTGGTATATACAAACGTACTAGAATACTATTCAGCTTTTGAAAAACAAGAAAGTTTGTCTTTGAGACTCTATGGCTGGACCTAAAGGATATTATGCTAAGTGAAATGAGCCAGGCTGGGTGGAGACTGGGGGGTGGACAGGGAACAGGGAGGTATTGGGCAAAGGGTACGAAGTTTCAGTTACACAGAAGAAATAGGTTCTGGTGATTTATCACACAGCATGGTGACTATAGTTAATAACAACAATTATAAAAATGGATTTTAAATGTTCTCAGTGCAAAGAAACATTAACTCATATTTGAGGTGATGGATATGTTAATTAACCTGATTTGATTATTCCACAATGTATGGAAACATCACATTGTACTCCATAAATATACACGATTATTATTTGTCAATTAAAATTAATTGAAACTTTAAAAGGAAAAAGGCAAAAGCAAAGTATTACTAAATGATAATTTTTAACATCAGTTATGTGAAATTCAGTATGAAAAACCTGTTCCTTTCTAGAACAGTACTTTTAAGGAATCAATATGCAACTCTCAAATATTTTTAGTAAAGAAAACTTAATTGTAAACACTGAGCTTTTCCAAGGTAGATGACTATTACAAAGTTCACTAGAAAATCAATATAGCATTTTAGTTGGAATTTGCTCATTAAACACCCACAGCTCTAATGCAAATTATGATGGAATGAATAAAGCAAATACGCATGCTTCTTTCTTTTTATTAAATGTAAAATCTACTGTTAATTGCATCTCGTATGTCATACAAACTTTTCTCCTTAACTATTAAATAGAAGCTTTAACAAAAGTCATTAGAGATTCTCTTTCTTTGACTTGAATAAATTTCAATATTTGTTCAGTAAAGGTTCACAGCAGTTAAATTACATTAACAAATATTATTAGCTACTATGTAAGCCAACCAAGTAAAATACTTATATTGTAGGTAAAACAAATCATTGGGTGTTTACAATAATATTTGGATATCTCCATTTTTAAACATGGTTATTAAATATCCTGTAATTCTTAGTCAAATGAGAGAGAGATTCAGAAAGGATCACCCCCCCCCACTATATACTCAAATGTATTTAGTAAGCTAATTGTTTTCTAATATGGGCAAGAGTAAATATGAAGAAGCTGAACCATACTAAGTATGAGTTTATTGAGTCAAGGCAGAGTACATATTTTCTTAGTAGAATCAAGTCAATTGACAAATCCACATTCTACACTTTTCAAACTACTTTTAAAATACAGTAGGAGTAAGGCGGTATATATTGGAAAACATTCTAGTTTAAACACTGGATCATGATTCTCTAAATAACATAATTTGAAGGATAAAAATTTCCCAGGATCCATTTGTTAACATCCCCATGGTAGTTATGTAAATATAAAAGGCTGAATCAAAAAGAGGGAAAAAGAAATCATTACAATTTTAAACTTATCAAATAATCACTGAAAATAATCCATGCTCCAAAAATCAAAGCAACAAAAATAATGGTCAGTTTTTACCATATATACAAAAAAACACAAATTCTCTGACTATACATTACAGCTTTATATGAGTAAACATTTTTGAGAGATTTATAATCATGTTAAATAAATTCCCTGCAAATATAATAATAATTAGTGTTTTATAAAACCTCCTATGCCAGAACCACAAACATTACACTATACCTTCTAGTTTCCTTAAAAGCTTTAATTTCTCTTTTTTTGGCTCACATCTGTTATTAGAAATTTAAAAATAGATTCAAATGGCCCAC